TCTCTCTCTCTCTCTCTCTCTCTCTCTCTCTCTCTCTCTCTCTCACACACACACACACACACACACACACACACACACACACACCACATACACACATACCTGCTAGAATAATTTGGGGTTAATATTGAACCTGTAGATTTGTGAAGATTTGACATCTTAATAATATTGAGTCATTCAGTCCATGAACATGGTATAACCCCTCATTTATTGTAGCAATGTTTTATAATTTTCAGTGGAAAGATCCTTTTCATTTTTTATTAAATTTATTCTTGGGTATTTAATTTCGGGGTGCTGTTGTAAGTGCTATCTTTATTTAATTTTCTAATTGTTAGCATGAGAATATTAATAAAAGACTATCTAAAATTTAGTTAGAGGTTCAACAGAGGAGTGTAGCCAGTGAGGGGCCTGAGAAGGAGGAGCCAATGGGTGGAAGGAAAGGCTTTCAAACAGGTGGAAGTAGTTAAGTGATCAAATGTGTAGAATGCTGTCACATGTAGAGTAAGGAGAGGACAGAAATGTGTCCAGTGGATTTAGATAGATTTTTTCCAGATGTATTTTTACAATATATTTTTATTGAGTTCAAAGAAGAAGGGAGAGGGAGAGACAGACAGAAACATCAATGATGACAGAGAATCATTGATCGGTTGCCTCCTGCACACCCTCTACTGGGGGTGAGCCTGAAACCTGGGCATGTGCCCTGACCTGGGAATCAGACCTTGACCCCCTGGTTCATAGGTTGATGCTCAGCCACTGAGCCATGCAGGCCGGGCCATAAGTATTTTTTTAAAGGAGAGAATTATATTTATTTGCTGACCAGGATGATTCATTAGAGCAGTGGTTCCCAAACTTATTTGGCCTACCGCCCCCTTTCCAGAAGAAAATATTACTCAGCGCCCCCTGGAAATTAATTTTTTTACACTTTAATAGCAATTAAACAGAAAGATATATGTAATAATGTTTCTACCTTTTTCGTAAAATATAGTAAAGAAAGGTGTAAATTAGAAACATTGAAGTTTGAAATTATGAAACTATTTATTGAACTTAGAATAGAAAGGTAATACAAAAAAAGTTAAAACAAATGTACCTGTGGCCATCACCGCCCCCCTGGATCGCTGCAGCGCCCACCAGGGGTGGTAGCGCCCACTTTGGGAATCACTGCATTAGAGTGAGAGGAATTGATAATATAGGGAATTGATCCAAGAGTGTAATCATTAAGGGAAATGAGACAAAGGGGAATTATCTAAGAGCTAAATACTTAAAAATGGGATCAGGGTCCTAAATCTGGATCTGGACTTTAATAGCAGCTGTTACATGAGGGAAAATGGAGATAGAATGGTATACTTGGAATTAAGGGCAGTTAGTTTAATTAGAAAATTCAGTTAAATTATGCATATTAATAAAGTATTAATATTTATTGAATGCTTAATGCTATGTCTGGCACTCTTTAAAAACATCTCATTTAACCCTCCTAAAAACTTATGAGTTTGGAATTATTAGCCCCATTTTGTGAATGAGAAAACAAGGTTCAGAGAGGTTAATTTGCTAAAAATCATGTCCTTCACTCCCAAGGAGGGTGTCTGGGCACTGCAGCTCAACGATGGACAGTACTGGGCTGTGTCCAGTCCTGAGCGGACCCCCTCAGCTGTGGCCACCTATCCCACTTAAGGGTGGAACTGGACCTCAAAGTGGGGGCCGTGTCCTTCTATGCTGTGGAGGACCTGCACCCACCTCTACACTTTCCGTGTCAGCTTCCAAGAGCGTGTGTTTCCCCTTTTCTCTATCTACTCTACTGGCACCTTCTTGCGAATCTGGCCTTGAGAGACATTGCCCAGCCTCCAGAGGGAGCGGGTCAGTCAAGGGTTGAAGAATACATAGATTATCGCATATTCACTTTTAAAGGCAACTATAAGTATATTTTTTGGTAATTGTCAGTATATTTTTAAGTTTTAAAAGAATAAAAATGGTTGTGTATTTATCACTACCACTACTGAGTTGTTGATAGACCTAGAATTGTTAAATTTCCAAAATCTTCAATCTTGAATATTACAGTACCAAAAGACTAAAAGAGAGGTAGGTATTTATGTCTTTTTTTTCCTATTAAAATAGATTATTGATCAAGCAGTTCTCATTAGGAGAATTAATTTGTAAATTCCCAAAGAGAATTAATAAATCTACGGATTTATTAATCTTATTTTCTACATGTGCATATAGGTCAACATTTGTTTTCATTACTATGACATAACTTTAGTAAAATAAATAAAGGAAATTAACTTGGTCATTTGTTGTTACTAGTAAACTGTTTTGTAAGAAGATTGAGAGACTATTTGATCCTGAGTACTTGAACCCAGATTCTCGGAATACTGCAGCAACGCTGTACAGGTATGGTGGCATGCTTTTCTTTGGTAGGCTGTATGATGCAGCTAAAATCTTTAATTTACTATATTTACATTTTCCTTCTTGTATGTTTTTATATCAATTTTTGTTATAGATGCTGTTTGTGTAAGAAATTTTTAACAAAAGAAACAGAAAGAAGAATTTCTTGCATTCCTGGAAAAATCAATGTGGATCGACATGGAAATCTTGTGTATATTCACATAAGGTGTAGTGAAAATAAAATACAGCTTTTCAAATGTAAATTACTAGTGTATTTATAGAAGCATAACTACTCCTATAAGGAACAGGATATATTTTCTGCATGTGATCCAACTTTGATTTAGAGCAGTGGTTCCCAAAGTGGGGCACATGCCCCCACAGTGGGGCAATTTGATTTTTTGTTTTGTTTTGTTTTGTTTTTTTAAAATATATTTTATTGATTTTTTACAGAGAGGAAGGGAGAGGGATAGAGAGTTAGAAACATCGATGAGAGAGAAAGATTGATCAGCTGCCTCCTGCACACCCCCTACTGAGGATGTTGCCCGCAACCAAGGTACATGCCCTTGACTGGAATTGAACCTGGGATGTTTCAGTCTGCAGGCCGATACTCTATCCACTGAGCCAAACCGGTTAGGGCCAATTTGGTTTTTAAGGGGAGCAATTTGAGAATGAGTTATTAACAGTGAATTTTTTGCATTTCTTGTGGTTCTAGGGGCCTCATATACAGTATGTAAATATATATTGTGACATATTTATGCATTTTAGTTCTCTATTATATGTTTATTTGCATGTTAAACTTTATTTGCAATTTTTTATATCACTTCATATTATTATTATTAGAGCCTGGTGCACGAAATTCATGCACTAAGGGGGGTTTCCCTCAGCCCAGCCTGCACCCTCTCCAATCTGGGACCCCCTCAGGGGATGTCTGACAGCCAGTTGAGGCCTGATCCCTATGGGATTGATAGGTGCCGCCATCTTTGTGACGCTGTGCAGGTCAATTAGCATATTCCCTCTTTTTTTCTGCTTTTATTTATTTTTATTTATTTTATTTTATTTTTTTATTTAATCTTTAAATTCTTTATTAGTTAAGGAATTACAGATGTGTCCTCATTCCCCCCCCATTAACCTTGATTAGGTAAGATTTTTTAAAACAATTTCTTAGTGATTTCTTAGTACTTCAGCTGCCCTTTTGTTCTTTTGTTCTTCTTTTTCATGGATGCCATGTACTTTGGAAGCTTATTTAGACCAAGTTATGGCCTTTTAGGCTTCCTCCACTTGAATAGGAGTTCACTTTTTGAAGAATAAGAATTATGTCACAGGAGACATCAGGATTTCAGAGATGCTTAGGTGGGGCATGGCCAAAAAAAAGGTTGGGAACCAGTGATTTAGAGAGATGCTATTTCCAAAACAAAATTGTTTTAAAGGCTATGTCTTATTGACTGGGTGAGTATATTTTTTAAGTTTTAAAAGGATAAAAATGGTTGTGTATTTATCTCAAAAGATATTTTGATCAGTACCATTACAATTATTTCTTTTTACTAACAGGTTTTAGTTATCTATATAAATGTTACTTTGAATATGACAAGAGAACCAAGTTTACTTTCAGGTGAATTTTTGTAAATGAGGAAAATTGTCTTTAAAATTGAATATTCCATAATTTATGTATTCTTCATACTTTGTCAGTATTCCATTAATACATAGTGTTTTTTTTTATTCCCCTTTAAGTTCAAAACCAGTTCTCATTCTGAGTTGGAGGGAGAGTGTTGTTAAATGGTATGTCTCAAGAAAGCAAAAACTTTCAAATATATCCTACTCCTAGGAATTAACACAAAGAGGTAATATTGGATTTGTGAAAGCACTTAATAAGGACATTTATTGCTATGTTGTTTAAATTTTAAAAGGGAAACACCCAAATAATTAAGCAACCTAAAATGTCTATACAATAATGTATATAAAGCACAGCTAATCAATTCTTAATGTACAGCCTTTGAGAATAATGTTGTAAAGGACTATATACTTACATATAAAGTTGTTAGTGGTAAATTAAGTGAAAAGAAGAACAGGTTATAAAACAAAACTAGAAACATGCCCACTAAAATATTAACAGTGTTACCATTGAATGAGTATTATGGATGGTTTTAATTTTCTTTGTGCTTGTTCTTTTTTCTGCATTAAAAATGTGCACCACTTTTACTAAAGAAAAAAAACTACAAATGTTAATTTCATAGTTTAAACATTAAAACGGAAGTACAGAAAACATATTTGACCTTAATATGAATAGCACAGTCAACTTTAAAATGTTTCATTTTTCTCTTCATATAATAATCAGGGAATCTTTTTAGTTATTATAAGCACCTGGGATTTTATACTTTTTTGTCTTGAGACTTGATTCATATTTTTAAAATTATGTCCATTCTGGCCCTAGCCAGTTTGGTTCAGTTATGCCTGCGGACTGAAGGGTCCCAGGTTCAATGCCGGTCAAGAGCAGGTTGCAGGCTCCTCTCCGGCTCGGGCCCTGGTCAGGGCTCATGCAGGAGGCAACCAGTCGATGTGTTTCCTCTCACATTAGTATTTCTGTCTTTCCCTCACTCTTCCACTCTCTCTAAAAATCAATGGAAAAATATCCTCAGGTGAATATTAAAAAAAAATTATGTCCATTTTGCCCTGGCCAGTGGTGTCAGGGTCATTGTTTCTCTCTCTCTTTCTCTTCCTCTTTCTAATATCAATTTTCAATTATTTTGAAAATTATTTACATTCTGATAGCAATAACTATTATGTATTCTATATATTTTCTGACATTGGGAACTATGAAAAAAATTGATAACTTCAACATCCATTTTTGTTTTATTCAAAGTATTTTAGCAAGTCAGCTGTTGCTGACATTTTAAAAAAATTGTCTTTAACTTAAAACAGATGTGCCTATGTAAATTGCAATAATATGATGTCATTTTATTATTTGTTAAACTAAGGACAAAAATAGCAAAAGTCTGAAAAGATGCCCTGGCCAGTTTGGCTTGGTGAATGGAGCGTCAGCCTGTGGATTCCGGGGTCCCGGTTCGATTCCGGTCAGGGACATGTGCCTTGGTTGGGGGCACGTCCCCAGTGGGGAGTGTGCAGGAGGTGGCTGATCGATGTTTCCCTTTCATCGATGTTTCTAGCTTTCTGTTCCTCTCCCTTCCTCTCTGTATGGTAATCATTAAGATATATTTTTTTAAAAAAAAGTCTGAAAAGATTAAGGAACTTGAGGGAAAAAATAGGAACTTGAGTTACATATGACCATAGCAAATAGGGTTTTAAGCCTTTGCTATTTTTTAAAATACACTTTTTATTGATTTCAGAGAGGAAGGGAGAAGGAGAGATAGAAACATTAATAATGAGAGAGAATCATTGATCGGCTGCCTCCTGCACTCCCCACACTGGGGATTGAGCTTGCAACCCAGGCATGTGCCCCTGACCAGGAATCAAACCGTGATCTCCTGGTTGATAGGTCAGTGCTCAGCCACTGAGCCATGTCAGCCAGGTGCCTTTGCTATTTTTAAAGTTGATCTTAACATAAAAATGTATATTACCAAGACCTAATTATATATTACTATATTATTTAATTACTAAAAAAATACCTCCTGAGAATAATATAAACACATTAATGAAATGTTTAGAATCACCCATAATTAACAACTTTATTATATAATATGTACAATTAGAATAAAGCAACATATGTCGAAGCCCCAAATGTTAGCCTACTCAAACTTTATTTAACTTATAATCCTTTATGTAGCTTAGCAAAATAATTTGGCATTCAACCATTCATGCCTTTTCCTGTTATCCACAGAAAAATAAAGCATAAACAGACTCCAAATGATATTTTACCTACTGTTCTGTCCATTCTACAACCATTAGTTAGGGACTATTCTTGGATATAAACCACAAATTTAAAAGCATTTGCTCTAAACAATTGTTAATATTGATTTCTTGTAAAATAATATAACAATTGATGCTCTTTCCCCAGAGATAAGACTTGGGATGTTCATGAGTATTTGAATAGTCTTTTTGAAGAATTAAAATCTTGGAGAGATGTATATTGGCGCTTGTGGGGAACAGTCAACTGGCTAACTTGTTCGAGGTGTTTCCAGGTGATTTTTAAAAAATATATCCTGCTCTGCAAACATTGAGAACATATTCTTTGGTACATGCTATTTAATTAGTATATTTGGGTGTGTTTTGACAATATCTAACATCTTTATAAGAATTTGGTGGCAAAAGCGGTTCTATTAAACATTGCTTACACCTGACTTAATTTTTCTTACTATGTTTCTTCTTCCTCTTTATTTTCATTGTTTTTTTTTTAATATTTTTAATTGATTTTTTACAGAGAGGAAGGGAGAGGGATAGAGAGTTAGAAACATCAACGAGACAGAAACATCGACCAGCTGCCTCCTGCACACCTCCCACTGGGGATGTGCCTGCAACCAAGGCACACGCCCCTGACCGGAATCGAACCTGGGACCCTTCAGTCCGCAGACCAACGCTCTATCCACTGAGCCAAACCGGTCTGGCTTTGTTTTCATTGTTGAAACAATCAGTGACTTGCTGAATTTTTAGAAAACCAACAGGTTATAAGTGACCAAATACATTTTTCCAATTATTTCCTGCTAAACTGTTTCGCTGTTGGCCCATACATTTCTTTATTTTTTTTTTACTTGTACTTATTTATTTTAAATTAATTTTACCTTTCTTTAATATCACTTTGCTTTCTCAAAGCCTATCTTTGTTCATTCTGTAACATTTCAAGAGCACATACTAATGTGCCAAACACTCTTCCTTGCCAGGTAAAGAGCACTGAACTGGGCTGTCACCTTTATTTTCATTTAAAAGTCAAACATCAAATGTAAATGGTAGCCCATGCATTTCTTTAGAAACACCTTTGCAGATAGGATGTGATTGACATCTCCCTTCTTGTTATAACAGCTGTGTTCCCAAAGGGTTTTGTTCATTTTTAAATAAATGAGTCTATAATAAAAGCACAGGAAAGCTTGCTATGTGAAGGTACCTATAATAAATCCTTTTATAGAATAAATAGATCTTTATAAATCACAATCATTCCTAATTAGGCTTATGTATAAACTAGAGGCCCAGTACACAAAAATTTGTGCACTCGGGGGGTCCCTCAGCCCGGCCTGTGCCCTCTCACAGTCTGGGACCCCTTGAGGGATGCCCACCTGCTGGCTTAGGCCGCTCTCTGGGTGCTGAGGGGATGATGGCTGTTTGCAGCTGGTCACACACGCTTCAGGGTGGGGGTCCCCACTGGGGTGCCTAGCCAGCCTGGGTGAGGGGCTGATGGCTGTTTGCAGCTGGTCACACATCCTTCAGGGTGGGAATCCCCACTGGGGTGCCTGGCCAGCCTGGGTGAGGGGCTGAGGGCCGTTTTTCAAGCTGGCTACACCCCCGGCAACCCAAGCTCCCAGCCTTTCCTTTTTTTTCTTTTTCTGGGATTTATTTATCTTCTATTATCGAAGCTTTGTAGCCTTGAGCGTAGCCCAGGGCCGTCCAGGGAAGGTAGGAAGCTTGGCTTCCTGCATTGCCAGGGGCAAAACAAGCCTCCTGCTCACTCCAGCTCCGTGGCCACTGCCATCTTAGTTGGGTTAATTTGCATACTCGCTCCTGATTGGCTGGTGGGCGTGGCTTGCGTGTATTTATTTATCTTCTATTATCGAAGCTTTGTAGCCTTGAGCGTAGCCCAGGGCCGTCCAGGGAAGGTAGGAAGCTTGGCTTCCTGCATTGCCAGGGGCAAAACAAGCCTCCTGCTCACTCCAGCTCCGTGGCCACTGCCATCTTAGTTGGGTTAATTTGCATACTCGCCCCTGATTGGCTGGTGGGCATGGCTTGCATGTAGCGGAGGGATGGTTGCTTTGCATGTTTCTCTTTTATTATATAGGATTCAGAGTGTTCCACATAAAGTTTTTTTTAATATGTTTGTATTGATTTCAGAGAGGAAAGGAGAGGAAGAGAGAGAAACATCAATGATGAGAGAATCATTGATCGGCTGCCTCATGCACACCCCCTACTGGGGATCGAGCCCACAACCTGGGCATGTGCCCTTGACCGGAATCAAACCTTTCAGTCCACAGGCTGACAGGGTATCCACTGAGCCAGGGCTACGTAAAATTTTTTATGACTCCCTAATGTCTTCCTGCCCCCAATAATTTTCCTCTCTCACTTGAGTAATGATTTTAAGTAGAGTGAAGGAAGCACTACTTACTAAAACCTTCAGAGTGAGGTTTCTCAAACTGTATAGGTTTATACCCAATGGACTCCCTATGTCCCCTCAATATTTAAAAATTGGACTTATTGAAGTATAATTTATATACAGTAAAATTTACCTTTATACTGTAAAATCAGTTCCGTTTAAGAGGTTTGACAAACACAGTTATGTATCTACCACCACAATCAAAACATAAACCAGTTTCATCACCCTGAAAATTTCTTTTGCCCGTTTGTAGTCAGTTCCTTCTCCCATCCCCGACTCTGGCAATCACTGACTTGATTAAGTGTCTTTATAATTTTGACTCTTCCAAAATGTCATACAGATACTATTATAACATTTTTTACTTTTTGGGTCCAGATTTTTTTATCTAGTAAAATGGACTTGAAATATTTATCCATTCACCAGTGAAGAACTTTGTAGGTGTTTCTAGTTTAGGACTATTATGAAGAAAGCAACTATAAACATGTCCTACAGACTTTCATGTAAATACTAGTGGCCCAGTGCATGAAATTCATGCACATTAAAAGGGAATTATTTAGAGGAAATATTTTAATATTGCTATTTGCTCTTTATAATAGAAGTGCCAGAGATGAAAGAAAATTAGTAAAATGTATATGAAAATCTCCCTCCTGTCAGAGTCTGGGACGCGCCACAGGACCCAGAGTCAAGTCCCCGCCCACCTGTCCGCGCCATGAAATCGCACAAGACCCAGACCCAACAGCCCCATCCCCGTCAAGCCCCGGAGGGCCAGAGGCGCAGCCTCAGGTCCCCTGGCCCAGGGTCAGGCAGGGGGTGCAGCCTCAGGTCCCCCAGCCCAGCCTCAGGTCCCCTGGCCCCAGTGTGATGGCATGATGACCATTTGCATATTAGCTCTTTATTATATTGGATAGATTTTCCCCTTGAGTAACCTAGAAGTAGGATTGCTAGATTGCATGGTAAATGTAATCCTAACAGTTTTCCAAAGTCCTGAACTTGCATTCCTCCCAGCTGTCTCTTGAGAGGTCTAGTTGCTCCACATTTTCACTTGATATTGTCAAGCTGGTGTTTATGTTTTTTGTAAATTTAATAGCTGTAACATCATATCACTTATAATCAAGAATATCAGGCTTCTAAAACCTGACTTGTTTAGCTTGTCAGAACATAGAAAATTTGAGGGATTTTTTTTCTCCTTTATAGAAAATTGAATATTGATTTTATTTATAGCATTTAACATTTATTATGGAGAGTTCATAAACTCAAAAAATAATTTGTATGCTAAATACTTTGTGTGTGAGTGTATGCCTTATAGCTTTTATCAGACAAAAAAATTTAATTAAAAATCATTTGAAAATCAACTAGAACTAACAAGTAAGTATTCTGAATTATAGATTATCCTTTTTTGCCTTTGTGTTCAAGATCAGTGCTTAACCCTAGCCAGTTTGGCTCAGTGAACAGAGTGCTGGCTGGCCTGTGGACTAAAGGGTTTCAGGTTCAATTCTGGTCAAGGGCATGTACCTCAGTTGTAGGCTCAATCCCTGGCCCTGGTTGGGGTACATGTGGGAGGCAACCAATCAATGTGTCTCTCACATCAATGTTTCGCTCTCTGTCTCCCCCTCTTTGTTCCACTCTCTCTAAAAATCAATGGAGCCCTAGCTGGTTTGGCTCAGTGGATAGAGTGTCAGTCTGCAGACTGAAGAATCCCGGTTTGATTTCAATCAAGGGCACATGCCCAAGTTGCAGGCTCGGTCCCCAGTGGGGGACGGGCAGGAGGCAGCCAATCAATGATTCTCATCATTGATATTTCTATCTCTTTCTCCCTCTCCCTTCCTCTCTGAAATCAATAAAATACATATATAAATATATGATCAAAAAATAATATAAAATAAAAATCAATGGAAAAATATCATTGGGTAAGGATTAACAACAAAAATAAAGATCAGTGGTTAAAATGATTAATTTTGTTATTTTCTTTAAATTATTTTTATCAACTTATAAACATACCTGGACTGTATGGTAAACGTAATTCTAACAGTTTATTACTTTTTAAAAAACAGTCTATTTTATAATTAAACCTTGATGTTTCTTTACAATGATTCAAAGTTACTCCATTGTTTTCATTAATACTAATGTTAAATATTTATCTTAAAATGCAAAGAATAATCAAGACAAAATTTTATTTTATTATTTTCACTGGAAACTTTTTATATGATTGGCTATTGTAAAATTAGATGTACATCAAGATCAGTTAATTCATCTGAATTTTGAGTAAAGTGTTCTTGCTTTTTCTTTTTAATAATTTTATTGAGGTATAATTATATGCCATAAAATTCATTCATTTTAAGTATACATTTTAGTAAATTTAGAGTTGTGTAACCATCACCACCATGCAATTTCAGTACATTCCCATTACCCCCAAAAGATTGCTTGTGTCCATTTGCTGCCACTCCCCAATCTTATCTCCAACCTCAGGCAACCACAAATCTACTTTGTGTCTCCAGAGATTTGATACTTCTGTACTTTTTATGTAAAGGGAACATACAGTATGTGATCTTGATTAAAGTATTTTTGAGATGTAAATTCCAATGTGGTAATAATAATTGATTTTATATTTTTCTTTTATTTAGGTTTTCCTCTGCACAGAATTTTCACATTGTCAGTATCACTCAGAAGCGGTGATTTATCCTCCTGCAGCCAGTTCACTTAGTACTGTGGGCACTGGAATTTATCCCTGCTGTAACCAGAAGGTCCTTCGGTTTGATCCTACTCAGTTTACAAAGGTAAAGGTAAAGGATTGATGGTATTACAGTATTGCAATGAGCATCCTTGCACATGCATCTTGGTACAGTACATGAGTATTACCATAGGTTAGAGTCCTTGACCATTAACACCACTTCAAAAATACAACTAACAGATGGAACGGACATCACCCAGAAGCATAGGAAGTCTGGCTGAGGGGAAATTCTACAACTAGAAGGAAAGAGAAAAGCATACTGAGAGTCAGAGGAGGCGCAGTGCGGAAAATACAAAGGTGCAGAGGTGCATGCGAAGCGGGCTGGCGGCTGAAGGCGTGGTTGTCTGTTTCAATTGGGAGGGAGTCTCAGGCTCTGAGCTCCAGTTCCAGGCGAGTCTGTGGGA